ACAAAATGGCAATTGGAGACCAATCTACTATGCAAGCAGAAGTCGAAGGTCTGGCTCTAGTTTGGGCCTGTGAAAGGTTCCATGTTTATCTATATGGAAAACATTTTGAGTTAGAAACTGATCACAAACCATTTAGAGTGATCTATTCAAGTAAATCTCAGCCCTCTGCGAGAATTGAAAGATGGGTCTTACAACTCCAACCATATGAGTTTACGGTGATGTATCGTCCGGGGCCACAGAACATAGCTGATGCTTTGTCTCGCCTAACCCAAGAAGTTTCAAATGAAAGCAAGAATGTGGCAGAAGAATACATTCGGTACGTTGCGGAGAATGAAGCTCCAAGAGCCATACCTTTCCAAGACACTGAAAAGCATCTGCTGAGGATGAAGAAATTGCACTGTTAAGGAAGTGTGTTCAGACCAATGATTGAACTGTCGGCGAGCCAGTCTTTAAGGCTTTGAGAAACGACCTAACTGTGCTAGAAAAGTTAGTGTTGAGAGGAACTAGGTTAGTAATCCCGAAGAAACTTCGCAAGCAAATACTAGATCTAGCACATGAAGGACACCAAGGAATTGTTAATACCGAGCAAAGACTCTGTACCAAGGTATGGTGGCCAGGTATAGATCGTCAAGCTCGTCAAGCAGAACAGAGGTGCAGAACATGTCATGGTTGCCAGCTTGTTAGTAAACCGTTGCCCCCAGCACCATTGAAAAGAACAGAACTCCCTACACAACCCTGGCAAGACCTCGCCGCAGATCTGCTTGGACCCCTTCCAACGGGTGAATATCTACTTGTGGTTGTGGATTACTTTAGTCGATTCTTTGAAGTAGCCGTAACCAAATCAGCGACATCCAGTAAAAATCATTCGCTGTCTGGAAACAATGTTTGCGACCCATGGACTACCACTGTCAATAAAAACAAACAACGGTCCCACAATTTGCGTTAGAAGAATTCGAAGTCTACCTCAAAAACAACAACATCGGACACAGAATATCAACTCCATTGTGGCCACAAGCCAACGGTGAAGTCGAGAGACAAAATAGGAGTCTGCTAAAAGCCATGCGGGTTGCGCAGAGCGAGGGACGCGATTGGCGAAAAGAATTGCAGAAATTCTTGCTTGGTTACAGAAGCACGCCACACACAAGTTCTTGTTCTTCACGCCTTCATCAGATATCCGACTCCCAGTGGAGAGGATTAATCTGGTCACATTCCAGTCCCTGTTGGTATTCATCCACTGCTTCTCGTAATTCTGTCCAGGCATGAGGCGATTGGAGTACTGAAGGATTAAAACAAAAGAAAATATTTATTTGTCCTTTTATATTTGAAAACTAATAAAAACCGTCGGTTGTTTTAACAATGTTTACTACCTCGCCTGCGTATACCAAGTTTAGCTGACTCTGTTAATAAGTAACTGACATAGCTCTGGAGTTCCTTGGGTGAACTGACATCAAACTTCGCCAGTCCTGATCTAATGGTCGGATAAATAGTAGCTATGATGAAGGACATAATAATAGTAGAAACTATTTCAGTCACATTCTCAGTTCAAAGAAATTATTATAAAAAATGTGGAACTACTATTATAGACAATGTTATCACAGTTTGGACAAAGCACCGCGGACACGCTTAATGTCAAATTTACATTCGTCGTTCAAAGATAACACCGACATGTTATGACTTGAACTAATACTAGACATACTACTGTTGGCAAAGTTAATAGCCTCTGGTGGTGCAGTGTAGTTACTGTGAGCCGAAGCTGACTTCAACAAAGGCTCTTTAAAGTTCGACAGACAAAATTAAAGTTACCAACTGCATTTAAACACGTTGTACTAAATTTAGCAAGACATGATGCTTGCAGGACCTTCCTCACATCGAGGGGTGTAAATAGTAGCTACAATTAAAAATGCCCGAGCAATCTGAAAAT